GGCGATCTGTGGGCAGTCTCTCATGAGATGCCCCTGACGGCCGCACATATAACACGCCCGGGGGGGGGTGGCGGCTCCATAGTGGGCACCCTGCCCGCTCCCTCTCCCCCCCGTGCGCCGCTGCCCAGACTCTGCTTCTAGTCGGGCTACCCTCCCAGCTAGCCCTCCCAACTCGGTCTGAATCGTCTCTACCGTAGTCTGCAGCGTAGTCACATGTGCCCGTACTTGGGTTACGTTGTTGTCCACTTGGGTTACTTTGTTGTCGATCCCCCCGATGCCCGCCTGTATCCCCGCTACCCATCCCGGGGTGGTCTCGCGGGATACTGGAGGCCCCCTTTCCCGACCCCCTACCATCCTGGTGAGCTCCTGTTCCTCCTCTTCCTCCTCGGTGGACAGACTTGCGATGGTGCGCTCCCGTCCCAGTCCTCGGAGCTGTGCGCGTTCGCTAGAAATTCTTTCACATTTGCGCGCGCGCTCGACAAGGGCATCAAAGGAGAGGCGCGTACAGTTCACGTCTGGCTGCCACCACGCCGTGCGCATTAAGTATCGCTGGATTTTCTCTGTGGCCAGCTCCTCAATCGCTTCCATGGTGTGCCTCGGGCGTGCGATCTTTGTTAGCTCACGCACATCCTCGGCATAATCGCGCAGGTCCTCGCCGGGTTGGCGACGGCGTGCCTCTAAGGCCGCTTTTGCCTCCTCCTCATCGCGCGTACCGAAGTGCAGATCAAGTCGGCGCATCAGCTCCTCTAGCCGTGTCTGCGTGCTTGCGGGTAGGGCTTCCACAAAATCGGCTGCCCGCCCATCCAGATTCATATTAAGTTGACGTAGCGTCTGCGCGTCCGTCCACCCATTAATTTCCTTAGCCCCTAGGACGTTGCGGGCAAATGCTCTCCACGAAGGTGTACCCCGGCCAGTGAATATATGCCTTATTTTCGCGTGGGGTAACGCGGGGGTTCGTACCGCTTCTGACACCATATTGTTGGGGTCGCCGGCCCCCGGGATCTCCCCTGCCTGCGACCCTGTCCGCGAAGTACCGACGCTCCCAGACTCTCCACTAGTGTGGGAGCTGCCGCCGCCGCACTCCTCCCCTGGCGGGGAAAGGTCGTCGCGCTCCTGTTCCCCCCCCTGTGCCGTCCCCCCCCGAGTCCGGGTCTCCTGCCGGTGGGGCATCCCACTCGACCCCCCTGGGACCCGCTAGCGCTTCGCCGGCACCCAAACGCGATGCTCCCCGCCCGCGCAGTCCCACGCACCAATCACACGCGGGTAACAGGGGGTCAAAGGTCGGAGGGTAAGCGACGTCGTTCGTGCTCACTCCGACGCTTGGGGGGATTGGTTTGAACGGGTTTAAAGGGCTATGCGATGGGCATGCGTGCGAGACGGGTATCCGCTCGCAACGCAGGAGTCCGCAGCCGACGGTTCGTAGCGCACACAATCCACGCGGCGCCGCTCCACACACGCGGCGACCACCGAGAACAGCAAGCGAACCCACGCTTCCACTCTCTTTCCACACCCTCGCAAAAACCACCACACCAGTCTGTTATGTAACGACCACCGCGACAGCAAGCGCACCCACGCTTCCGCAATAACCACACCAGTCTGTTATGTAACGACCACCGCGACAGCAAGCGCACCCACGCTTCCGCAATAACCACACCAGTCTGTTATGTAACGACCACCGCGACAGCAAGCGCACCCACGCTTCCGCAAAAACCACACCAGTCTGTTATGTAACGACCACCGCGACAGCAAGCGCACCCACGCTTCCACAAAAACCACACCAGTCCGTTATGTAACCGCCGACGATTTATTCCACCGCGTCGGCGAGCCCTTATTTAACCGAGTCAGTCGGGATCAGCGGGGCAGGACCGATCTATCTCTCGATAGTCGGCACTACACTCTACCTGTCCTTCTCCCCTTTACCCTCTCCGGTTTTGCTCTTAAGCTAAGTCCCAACTCCCTCTCTCTCTCTTACTCACGGTTCGTCGTCACTGCTGTCTGGTCCTCGCGGCGCGTCGATACGTCCCACGGACGTTCGCGCGGCTGGACTCGGGAGTTGACGGGCCTGGGGTTGACTCGAGTAGCCAGAGACCCTTTTTCCTTCGCCCTGACCCGCTTTATTCTTTCTACATCAAAGGGGCTACCTGGTGCCGACTCGCGGGCCAATCAGCTCGCTGGGATCACCCGCCAATCGGTAGGCCCATCTGTATCCCAGCATCCCCCGGGCCGTTGCTTTCAGCGACGTCCGCATCTAAATTTACCTGCTCAGCGACCCTCCAGCCAGAGGGCGACCCTGCTTTCCCGCCGCTCGTGGCTCTGCCCTCCTACCTGCCTGCTGACCCGTGTGTGTTGTGTGTGCTGTCTACCCGCGGTGGCTCGGCAGCCCCGTCGTGACCATGTAATTACAACCAAAGTCACGGCGCCGCGGTGGGTGTTAGCGTCGGGGGAGACCGTCCAATTCCCTGGCTGCAGGAAACCGTGAAGATTATCCCTTTACGAGGGCTTCTGGGTGAAAACCTGTCGGCCAGGGTGTCTCCCCACGCGCTCTAATGGTGGGGGAGTGCGTGCGTGTGTGTTCCGGTGGGGGGGGGGGGGGGGGGGGGGTGGGGAGGTGGTGGGGTGGAGCAATGTCGGCCTCGTCGCTCGGAGCGGCGAGATCGCAGGTGGGCCGCCCGCCGATCGGCTCCGTGGCGGCGGCATCACAGGGTCCCTGGGTGCTGGTCCAGTCTTCAGGTCTTCGGATGTCTTCAGGCTTGAGTTGGTGAACACTGCCCGGCCGGTCCAGGGGGCCGGGCTTTTAACCCCAGGTCGGGGTCACCCCTCCCCTCCTGAACCACCAACCCCCCCTCCCAGAACCTTCTGGAAGGTCTTATCTTAAGGGGCCTTAGAGACGGGTGGGGGGTCAGGGATGTTATTCTCGGGTCACGGGGGTGGGGGCGGGGGTTTACTTTGGTCGACCCGTACACACCTCACTCTCTCTCGGCTGCCCCCTGTTGACCCGTGAACGTGGTGGCAGGTCAGCTTACAGCGCCTTGTTGTGGCGCTTACGCACAACTTCGTGACTAACGCTGCACGTTCCGTCGTATTCATGCAGGGGGCGCTGCAAACCTATGCATCCCCTGCATGAACGATGGAGGCGCAGGGACAGACGTTCGATCGCATTGGAATCAATTTGCGGACGGCGGTCTTCTCGCACGGCCAGCTCTGTGTCGCCTCATCTCGATCCCGCGATCCCAACCAGGTGAAAGTCCGCATCGAACCAAACCACCGGCAAAGCCATCTACTTAATGACGCGAGAAAATTCACACGAAATATCGTTTTCAATTAATACGCTTTTAATGAAGAAATACAATTATCTAATTCAAAATAATACAATTCAAAGTTATTTCATTTTAAAACTTCAAAACGGAGCATCGGGAGCTTGCGTGGAGGCGTCGTTCGTGTGCAATTTTTTTCGTGACTTTCCTGGCCCCAGGCCGTAAATGGTTGTGAGGGGCACCGCAGGCGGTCAGGCTTGCTTCAAGCCATGGTTGTGAACATCCAGACGTTAATCAGCAAGGACCATTTCTTGTCCTAATTCGAGAAAATCCACATCAACATGTAATACAAAATTATAATTCGTGTTGTAGAGAATGTATCTCCTCTACGTGTAACTTTTGAGTGGTATGCCTTGTAACTGATGAATGATCCGAGGGTGCTCCCTATTTCAAAGACAATGAGTTGCTCCAGAGGGAGAAGCTTCCTGAAACATAAAAATACCCTTTGACCTGTATCACAAGAACAATGAGTCTCACCTGAGTTATCTGAACAGGTTACTTCCAAAACACACACTTTGTCCTAACATCACTTATTCAATGTTTGACCCTTATACACAAAATGTTACATGTACGTACACAATCAAACAAGTATTCATTCTAAATTATTGACAGGCATCTGAACAAAATTGAATTACAGGTGCACCCCAAGCCTGTTCCCACCCCCCCCCCCCCCCCCCCCCCCCCGCTTCTGTGTATATGCAAGATGTGCTGTTTTGAGCTGCCGCAAGATGAGCTGCCACTCTCCTTTTGCTCCCCCCCCCCCCAACCTTATTTCCTATTTAAGCTTCTGTTCACCTCTCTCTCTTTGCCTCTCCGTCTTTCCTACTGACCATGTACCTCGTATTTTCACTCTGTCTATGCTGGTTTGTGCAATCCAGAAGTTGAACACGAAATTTAACACTTCTGAAATTCGTGGTCCGCCAGGAAGTGTCTGTGTTGTTGGCCTGACTGGTTGTGCTTCACATGTTTTTTAGGTTTGTTAAATTCTCGTCTCTCATCTTTTTTACCTCCATGATTTGTTCTTGCCATGATTTGTCCTTGACACCTGGTGAAGATCGCTTGTGTTGTGATCTAAACGTCGTGATTGTTTTGTATTTAATATAATTTTATTGTATTTCTACATACGTGACTTTACCGAAAAAACCAATGAGTAAGGTTACATCGCATTAACAAGAAGCTATTTAAAAAAAATATGCACCGTCTGCTTAACAGTGTATGTACAACATACTATTGCGCCAAAACGAGTTGGCCATTGCATGCTGGCGTCTGGGTCAAAATGTATCAAATTCTAAACATTACCTACAAACTACACAACCAAGATGCCACATCAACCATCACCCCCTACTGACAGGCTCTTGTCCACATGCAGGCCAGTGCAGGGCCACCACCTTATGCCACACAGGGGCAGCTGCTATTTGGGGGTGCTCTTTGAGTGTTTGAGACAAGATACGATACAAAACTCCGAATTGCCAGAGGCGATTAAGCAACCACCATATAATTGGAATAATTAGAACCTTGTGAATGCTTGGGAGCTTATTGACTCTCGCTCATGGTTAGAGATCTACCCAACCCACAGGTCCACAAAGACTGGCCGCTCTTACCCTGCAGGTTGAACCTAGGAATTGAGTGTTCAACTTTATTGTTGTCATTAAAGGCCTGTGACAAAGGTGCATCTATTGGAGCGACATCGTCTCAAGCTTACACATCTAACGGGTCTCCAATTGACTTCGTATTGTCTCGGAGGAAGTCCACCCACACCTCCACTTCCACAAACTGCTGAGAATTGCCTCGCTCTGCCTCACAGTCAGAATTCTCCTCCTGCTTCACGTTTCCTCCATTAATGTGTCGGTCCGACTTTGGAGTTGAATCATCTTCACATTTTACCTTCACTTCTTCGCTCTTCACCATCACTTGTTCATATTTCACCTCTATACCTTTAAAAGTGTCCAAGCTTGGATTTTCTTCCGGTTCTTGTTTCATGACGGATGGGCTCATTGCGCCACTTTGACTTCCACAAGCTGATTTCAGACTCCACTCCTTGTGGGTCTTCTGATGCTTGTGAGTTCTCTGGTGTCTTTGAAGATGTGGTGACTGTGCAAACGCCTTCCCACACACACTGCACTTGAAGGGTTTCTCTCCCATGTGTGTTCTCTGGTGTACATGAAGATTTGATGAAAGTGTAAACGCCATCCCACACACACTGCACTTGAAGGGTTTCTCTCCTGTGTGTGTTCTCTGGTGTTTTTTAAGAGTAGATGAATGTGCAAACGCCTTCCCACACACACTGCACTTGAAGGGTTTCTCTCCTGTGTGTGTACTCTGGTGTTTTTTAAGAGTAGATGAATGTGCAAATGCCTTCCCACACACACTGCACTTGAAGGGTTTCTCTCCTGTGTGTGTACTTTGGTGTGTTATAAGAACAGATGAACGTGCAAACGCCTTCCCACACACACTGCACTTGAAGGGTTTCTCTCCTGTGTGTGTACTCTGGTGTGTTATAAGAACAGATGAACGTGCAAACGCCTTCCCACACACACTGCACTTGAAGGGTTTCTCTCCCGTGTGTGTTCTCCGGTGTGTTACAAGAGCAGATGAACATGTAAACGCCTTCCCACACACACTGCACTTGAAGGGCTTCTCTCCCGTGTGTGTTCTCTGGTGTTTTACAAGATTTGGTGACTGTGAAAACGCCTTCCCACACACACTGCACTTGAAGGGTTTCTCTCCCGTGTGTGTTCTCTGGTGTGTTACAAGAGCAGATGAATCTGTAAACGCCTTCCCACACACACTGCACTTGAAGGGTTTCTCTCCCGTGTGAGTTCTCCGGTGTGCTTGAAGATGTGGTGACTGTGCAAACGCCTTCGGACACACACTGCACTTGAAGGGTTTCTTTCCCGTATGTGTTCTCTGGTGTGTTACAAGAGCAGATGAATGTGCAAACGCCTTCCCACACACACTGCACTTGAAGGGTTTCTCTCCCGTGTGTGTTCTCTGGTGTGTTACAAGAGCAGATGAATGTGCAAATGCCTTCCCACACACACTGCACTTGAAGGGTTTCTCTCCTGTGCGTGTTCTCTGGTGCCGTGTCAAATTTCCAGTACGATCCGTGCTGTATGCACGCCGGTCGCATTGTTGCCTTTTTGCACCGAGCCGCGCCGAGTGCCTTTGCTCCATCAGACAAATACTGCAGAGGAAGCGACAGCTGCAGACAGAAAAAAAGAATATAAACACCATCTACACGTCAGTATCGATGCACAGAGGAATGCATACACACAGTAACACGTGAATAACACGTCTATACTTCTTCATATATTCATGTTATAGTGAAAAAGTGTCCCAAATTCATCACACGGGCTGTTATGGCACACAATGAGAGGGCAAATGGTTATAAACGTGCCTGGAAGCCCTGGTATCTTCAAAATGAATGTTAACCCAAAACTCCGAGCACACAATTTCGGATGTCTGGCTTCAAAAGGAATATTTATGAAAGCTAAATTCAGCTGACATATCAAAGAGTGTTGAAAATAATACTATTCGTGTTATGCCGAAATGCATAAATGAATGTTAAATCGCAACTTAGAGGTGTGAACCCAGGCACAGATGTCCTTGAATGCTGAGATGAACAGTTCCGACTTCAGCTGCACGTGTGCTGTGATAACTTCCTGACTCCATTCTTACGAAGAGTTGCAGAGAAAAAACTAAAATAAACTGTTTTGATATAAGACCCGTGCTCAATAGAGTTAATAGACTTTACTGCAAACACAAACTTGACCCTGTCACACACTCAGAGGTGGAGCCAGGATTTTCAGTTAGGGGGGCAACCCCTTCAATCGGACTGTTGGGGGGGCACGTGCCACCCCACCCCCACTGGCTCCACCACTGTCATGCACTGGCATGGTTCACAGGTGGTGGTGTGTCCAGACTCACGCCTGGCCACGTCCACCTGCTCAGAATTAATAGTTCCTCATTCCATCAAGTAATTCATTGAGGATCAACCAACACAGCCGAGGCTGCGTGTCTCTCTCTCTCTCTCCCCGTGGTCGCGTGGATTTCCGTCCCGATCCCCGGGTTTCCCCTCCACATGTAGAGAGTGAACACCACCACGCGCCCAGAGTGAACACCGCCACGCGTCTAGAGTGAACACCGCCAAGCGTCTAGAGTGAACACCGCCACACGCCCAGAGTGAACACCGCCACGCGTCTAGAGTGAACACCGCCACGCGTCTAGAGTGAACACCGCCACGCGTCCAGAGTGAACACCGCCACGCGTCTAGAGTGAACACCGCCACGCGTCTAGAGTGAACACCGCCACGCGCCAGAATGAACATTGCCACGCGCCCAGAGTGAACAAGGCCACGCGCCCAAAGTTAACACCGCCACGCGTCCAGAGTGAACACCGCCACACATCCACAGTGAACACCGTCGCGCATCCAGAGTGAACACCGCCACGCATCTAGAGTGAACACCGCCGCACGTCTAGAGTGAACACCACCAAGCGTCTAGAGTGAACACTGCCACGCGTCTAGAGTGAACACCGCCGCGCGTCTAGAGTGAACACCACCAAGCGTCTAGAGTGAACACTGCCACGCGTCTAGAGTGAACACCGCCGCGTGTCTAGAGTGAACACCACCACGCGTCTAGAGTGAACACCGCCACGCTGTTGACGAGCCTCACCTTGTGTTGTGGGCAGGTCGCTTCTGAAAACAAAAGCGGTACAGCAGCTTGGCCTGGTAAAAAGAATGAAATAAAAACTGCGTGAATGTTTAAAAGTAAAACAAAGTGACAAAGAGGCGAGCCGTGTAAAGACAAATTAAACTTAAGCAAGAGAATTAAAGCAAACGCGATCAGGCGAGGGCAGGAGGCAAGGCCGTGCGTGCCTAGGCCACGCGCTATAAAGTTCCAACCTGGACATCGCTTGCACGCTCGCTGCTACTCAATTGACATCCCTATGAGAGAGAGAGTGTGGCTCTACCTCGGTAAACAACAACCACCACCACCACAACCACCACCACCACAACAACCACCACCAAAACCACCACCAAAACCACACCACAACCACCACAACAACCACCACAACAACCACCACAACAACCACCACCACAACAACCACCACCACAACAACCACCACCACCACAACAACCACCACCACCAAAACCACAACAACCACCACCACCAAAACCACAACAACCACCACAACAACGACCACCACAACAACCACAGCAACCACCACAACCACAAACACCACCACAACAACAACCACCACCACAACCACCACGGTAACAACCACCATAACAACCACAACCACCACAACAACCACAACAACGACAACCACCACCACAACAACCACCACAACCACCACAACAACCACCACCACCAAAACCACAACAACCACCACCACAACAACCACCACCACAATAACCACAACAACCACAACAATCACTACAACCACAAACACCACCACAACCACAAACACCACCACAACAACCACAACCACCACAACAACAACCACCACCACAACCACCACCACAACAACCACCACAACCACCACCACCAAAACCACAACAACCACCACCACAACAACCAACACACCAACAACCACCACAACAACCACAACAACCACCACAACCACAAACACCACCACAACCACCACCAATAGAACAACCACCACAACCACCACCACAACAAACACCACCACAACAACCACCACCACAACAACCACAACCACAACAACCAATACAAACACCACCACCACAACAACCACCACAACAACCACCACAACAACAACAACCACCACCACAACAACAACCACAACAACAACCACAACAACAACCACCACCACAACAACCACCACAACAACCACCACCACCACAACAACCACCACAATAACCACAACAACCACCACCACAACCACCACCACAACAACAACCACCACCACCAAAACCACAACAACCACCACCACAACCACCACCAAAACCACAACAACCACCACAACCACCACCACAACCACCACAACCACCCCCACAGCAACAACCACCACAACCACCACCACAACAACCACAACCACCACCACAACCACAACACCACCACAACCACCACAAAAACCACCACAACAACCACCACAACCACCACCACAACAACCACCACCACAACCACAACAACCACCACCACAACCACCACCACCACAACAACCACCACCACAACCACCACCAATAGAACAACCACCACAACCACCACCACTGCAACAACCACAACAACCACAACCACCACAACAACCAACCACCACAACCACCACCACAACCAACACAACAACCACAACAACCACCACAACCACCACCACAACAACAACCACCACAACCACCACCACTGCAACAACCACCACAACCACCACCACAACCACCACCACAACCACAACAACAACCACAACAACTACCACCAACCACCACAACCACCACCACAACAACCACAACAACCACCACAAACACCACCACAACAACCACCAAAACAACCACCACCACCACAACAACCACCACAACAAGTAAAACAAAGTGACAAAGTGGCGAGCCGAGGGAAGACAAATTAAACTTAAGCGAGAGAATTGAAGCAAACGCGATCAGGCGAGGGCAGGAGGCAAGGCCCCGCGTGGCTAGGCCCCGCGCTGTAAAGTTCCAACCTGGACATCGCTTCCATGCTCGCTGCTACTCAATTGACATCCCTACGAGAGAGAGCGACGCTCTACCTCGGTAAACGACAACCACCACCACAACAACCACAACAACCACCACAACAACAACCAACACCACAACCACCACCACAACAACCACAACAACCACCACAACAACAACCACAACAACAACCACAACCACCACCACATCCACCACAACCGCCACCACAACAACCACCACAACAACCACCAACACCACAACCACCACCACAACCACCACAACAACCACCACCACAACCAACACCACAACCAACACCACAACAACCACAACAACCACCACAACAACAACCACAACAACAACCACAACCACCACCACATCCACCACAACCGCCACCACAACAACCACCACAACAACCACCACCACCACAACCACCACCACAACCACCACAACAACCACCACCACAACCAACACCACAACCACCACCACAACAACCACAACAACCACCACAACAACAACCACAACAACAACCACAACCACCACCACATCCACCACAACCGCCACCACAACAACCACCACAACAACCACCACCACAACCACCACCACAACCACCACAACAACCCCCACCACTGCAACAACCACCACAACAACCACAACCACCACCACAACAACAACCACCACCAATACCACAACCACCACAACAACCACCACCACCACAAGTAAAACAACCACCACCACAAAAACCACCACAACAACCACCACAACCACCACCACAACAACCACCACCACAACCACAACAACCACCACCACAACCACCACCACCACAACAACCACCACCACAACCACCACCAATAGAACAACCACCACAACCACCACCACTGCAACAACCACAACCACCACAACAACCAACCACCACAACCACCACCACAACCAACACAACAACCACAACAACCACCACAACCACCACCACAACAACAACCACCACAAGCACCACCACCACAACGACCACCACAACAACCACAACCACCACCACAAAAACCACCACAACCACCACCACAACCACCACCACAACCACCACCACAACAACCACCACAACAACCACCACCACAACAACCACCACAACCACCACAACAACAAACACAACAACCACCACCACAACCACCACCACAACCACAACCACCACAACAACCACCACAACAATAAAACAAAGTGACAAAGTGGCGAGCCGAGTGAAGACAAATTAAACTTAAGCGAGAGAATTGAAGCAAACGCGATCAGGCGAGGGAAGGAGGCAAGGCCCCGCGTGGCTAGGCCCCGCGCTTTAAAGTTCCAACCTGGACATCGCTTCCATGCTCGCTGCTACTCAATTGACATCCCTACGAGAGAGAGCGAGGCTCTACCTCGGTAAACAACAACCACCACCACAACAACCACCACCACAACAACCACCA